GTGGGGGGACGCCCTACACTTCGTCCGCCGGTACGAGGTCGCCACTCGAGAACCTTTTTTCCCCATCGGTTCTTCGAGCTATATGGCCGGCCCATTGCCACTTTAGCTTACTAATCCGTCGGGCTATGTCGGTCACTCTGGTTCTACTGCGGATATTCTCATTTCTAAGTTTCACTGTCACTTTCTAATGTCACTCAAAGAAACTCCGAGCATAGCCCTCTGCATAGCTCGCTGCGCAACCTTGAGCTTCTTCATCCGGCCAGCAGTGAAGGACCACGTCTCAGTTCCATAGGTCATCACTGGCAACACGCACTGGTTGTACAGTCTCGTTTTCAAGTTTTGAGGTATATCTGACGAGAAGATGTGCCGTAATTTCACGAACGCCGCCCAACCGAATTGAATCCGTTGCTTGACCTCTCGGTTGAAGTTGGACTTACCTAGTCGGACTATTTGTCCCAGGTAAACATACTCGTCAACAGCTTCGAGCTTAGTGCTCCCATCAACTACCGGCATAGGTGTGACTTTTGCCGACACAGACCGACTCATCGACCACGTCCAAATGGCTGCAGACTCCGTGCTACAACAGGTCCCATCCGCAAAGATCGTGATGCTCAGTGATTCGTTTAACCGATCATGCGGGTAGATCTGTCTATGACTTTGCTTTGGCATATGGTCTAACACAACTGGTTACTTCGCCTACGCGGATCCCAGATGTGGAAGACCATGTACCTTCCCTGTTGGACCTTCTGCTGACCTCTCATCCGGACGGATATCAGGTCTCCGTCGATGCCCCTCTGGGCTCTTCGGACCATTGTCTGATCCGGAGTACGGTGCCACTAACGCTCCAATCGCAGTTGTGATCTGCAGCTTGCCGCCGTGTTTGGCACTATAGGTCAGCTGATTGGGACGGGATGCGGTCTTTTTTTGCATCGTACCCTTGGGGGCGGGTTTGCTTCTCGCCGGAAGATCCCAGCGTCGTTGCCAATTCTGTTGCTGATGTGGTACTTCAGGGTATGGAACTTTTTATTCCATCCTCTGTGGTGCCCATCGGAGGCAGATCCCAGCCATGGTTTGGTCGCTCCTGTAAAATAGCATCACGCTATAAGCAGGAGTGCTACCGGGCCTGGGCTGACGCATCAACGTCTCGGGATGTAAACACCAGCGCACTTAAAAAGAAGTATAATTCCGCCTCCAGGTCCTTCAAAAGCGTCATTGCCAAGGCAAGGTCTGAGCACATCGGCAGAATTGGCGAGAAACTAGTTCGCCTTCCTTCGGGAACCCGTGCATTCTGGTCTCTCGCCACAGCTGTCCAAGGGAACTTCTGTCAGCCATCTCTTCCATCTCTGCACACGGAGGACGACTCACTGGCCCATGCCGCAAAGGAGAAAGCCGATCTTTTGAGCTCTCTTTTTGCGTCCAACTCGACTCTAGATGACGGGGGGAATACACCGCCGACCATCCCGCGATGTGAGTGCTCTATGCCGGATGTGCGGTTTACATAGCGCTCGGTTCGCAAAGCACTCTTCTCCCTGGACGTCAGCAAGTCGAGTGGGCCCGATGGAGTCCCTCCCATTGTGCTGAAGACGTGTGCTCCGGAGTTGGCACCGGTTTTAACGCGTCTTTTCCGGTACTCCTACTCCCAAGGCGTAGTCCCGAATTCATGGAAGACAGCTTTAGTCCACCCGATCCCTAAAAAAGGCGACCGCTCAGACCCGTCCAACTACAGGCCTATTGCCATCACCTCCTTGTTCTCCAAAGTAATGGAATCCATTATAAACTGACAGCTCATGAGGTACCTTGAGGATCACCAGCTGATTAGTGACCGCCAGTACGGTTTTCGTCGAGGTCGATCAGCTGGTGATCTTCTAGTCTATCTGTCTCATAGATGGGCGGAGGCAGTAGAGTCCAAGGGGGAGGCATTGACCGTTAGTTTGGACATAGCGAAGGCCTTCGATCGGGTCTGGCACAAAGCGCTTCTTTCGAAGCTTCCTTCCTATGGGCTTCCCGAGAAATTGTGCAAGTGGATCACCAGTTTCCTTGCTGATCGGAGCATCAACGTCGTAGTAGACGGTGCATGCTCTGATTTCAAGCCTATCAACGCTGGTGTTCCACAAGGCTGCGTGCTATCACCAACGCTGTTTCTCTTGCATATCAATGATATGTTGCTAACTAGTAGCATTCATTGCTATGCAGACGACAGCACTGGTGATGCCTTATATACCGGCCGTGCCAATATTTCTCGGGAAAACGTCGCTGAGTACCGGAACAAACTTGTGTCTGAAGTCGAGTCTTTGCTTAACAAAGTCTCGGAATGGGGCCGACTAAATCTAGTCCAGTTCAATCCCCAGAAGACACAAGTTTGCGCGTTTACCGCTAAAAAGAACCCCTTTGACGTATCTCCTCAGTTTCAAGGTACTCCCCTTGCTGCCTCAGCTAGTATCGGAATCCTTGGCGTCGACATATCGAATAGTGTGCAGTTTCGTGGTCACTTGGAAGGGAAGGCCAAATTGGCCTCTAAAAAGCTTGGCGTTCTCAGCAGAGCGAGACAGTATTTCATGCCGGCACATCGCTTGCAACTTTACAAAGCGCAAATTCGGCCCCACATGGAATACTGTTCTCATCTCTGGGCCGGGGCACCCCAGTGCCAGCTCCTTCCACTTGACCGCATCCAGCGCAGAGCGGTTCGAATTGTCGACGACCGAGTTCTTTCTGATTGGCTTGATACACTGGCACTGCGTAGAGATGTTGCATCTCTTTGCGTATTTTATCGCATCTATCACGGGGAGTGCTCTGAGGAATTGTTCGGACTAATTCCAGCCGCTCAATTTCACCATCGCACATCGCGACAAAACTCGCGTTACCATCCATACCATCTGGATGATTGGCGGTCCACCACTGTGCGATGTAGAAGAAGTTTTCTCCCTCGCCCAACTTCTTTGTGGAATCAATTACCACCAGCGAATTTTCCGGACAGATACGACTTAGGAACCTTCAAGAAAAGAGCTTACACCTTTCTAAAAGGCCGGCAACGCATCTGCAATTCCCCTGGTGTTGCGGTTGTTCATGGGTGGCGGTAGTCACTTACCATCAGGTGAGCCGCATGCTCGTTTGCCCCCTCTTCTATAAAAAAAAAACATGGACATTAAACATGATCTTTGTTTTGTCCATGTTCATCTTAAGAACTATCCGTTGGGAAACACTATTGAGGTCACTGAGCATAGTGCTTAGGTCCTCCAGCGATTCTGCCATAAGGATTATATCGTCGGCAAATCGAAGGTGAGTGATGTACTCGCCATTGATGTTGATACTGTATCCTTGAAGCTTGAAAACGTCTTCCAATGCGGTGAAATGTTTCGGGGATATAACGACACCCTGTCTTACACCTCATACAATTGGATAGGTTTCATACTCTGGTTCTGTATTCAGATAGCCATCGTAGCCCTACTGTATAAGCACTTCAGCAGCTTGATATACCGATAGTCAACTTGGCACCGCTGAAGGGACTGCAGCACCGCCCAAATTTCGATGGAATCAAAGGCTTTCTCATAGTCCACTTACACCAGACATAGTGGCAAATTGTACTCCTCGGACTTCTGTAAAATTTTCCAAAGTGCATGTATGTGGTCTATGGTGCTAAAGCCTTTTCGGAAACCAGCTTGTTCGGGAGGCTGGAAGTCGTCAAGTCTGCACGCGAGACGATTCGTAATGACTCTCGAAAACAGCACGTAGACGCGGCTCAGAAAGAAAATCGGTCTGTAGTTCTTTAAGAGAGCGTTGTCGCCTTTCTTGAAGAACAAGACCACCGCACTTCTGCTCCACGCCTCCGGTGTAATGCCACCATGGAGGACTTCAAGTACCGGTTTTCCACCCGCTTTCAGAAGCTCCGCTGTAATTCCATCCTCGCCAAGGGCTTTGCCGTTTTTAATGTGCTGCAGAGCCTCATAGAGAGTCGTCATAATGGAGTCAATCTCATTTTTTGTCGAACCGTCGGGGCTCGACTAGGTCCACTTCCTGTGGGGCCGCTTCTGGAAGAAAGAGTTCATCATAAAGAGTCCCTCTTTCTCCATGAAGTCGGCCAGCTGCTGGCCCCTTGGATTCCGTTGCCCTATTCCGAAATTCCCTACTTTCAGCTCACCGTTCTCTCTTGTGCCTAGTTTTGCATTGAAGTCTCCCATTAACACCGTATAGTGGGTTTTGGTGGAATGCATAGCTCTAGAGATAACCTTATACATTGTTTTCACCTCCTCATCGGGGTGTGCCGAGGTTGGTGCGTAAACCGTTTGGTGATTCTGAGTATAAGGTACGCAACCCTCGTCGACACACTCCCAACCTTTACAACGTTGTTAACGAGAAACTTGTGGACGATAAATCCGACACCTCATTGGGACAGATGGTCGCCCTCCCGGTGATAGAACAAGTTGCCGGATTCGAGGATTACCGTGTCCTCCCCTTCTCATCGGACCTCGGATAATCCTATGATATTCCAGCGCAACTTATCTATCTCTTCTTCCAGCTCTAGCATCTTCTCGTCAGTCCTCAGGGTGCGTACGTTATAAGTTGCTAGGTCGAGTCGTCGTAGGTGGCAGCCGAACCTCCACCGGAGATTCTTAGCACCTCCTGCCTAGCCGTTACCATGGTCGCCACCGTAGTCAGAAATAGCACGGCCGCCGGGGAGTGGGGGCAGTCTCTTCGTTACTCTCATGGGGGGGGGTATATTGCCATAGTTGCCACGATTGGCGAGCGGGTTGACAACCGCAGTTTTTTTATTGTTGATTTGCTGTTATCATAAAGATGCTGCTGCCCATCCTTCGCCACAGTTTCCCTCTGTCGCCTCTTACGACACCCACGGGAAGATATGGTACCCCATATCTTCCCGTAAGTATTCTTTCCCGCCTCTACACGGGGTAAAAATATATATCTATATAAACGTGACGGCTCTAATGCCGAACTTACAGTATTTTTGTAGCGTAAGCATACCTACTGCGCAAAAATAATTCGAAATGGCGTGTCAACCTAAACGTTCCGAAACCGTCGTAATCCACGAGTTGCTGGCCTTTGTTCAACAAAAATTGGACGTCATGGACCAGGTGTCTCTGGAGCAGATACTGATGACAAGCTTCACCGAGGACAAGATCATCCAAGCGAAGAATGTGTTAGTGATTCAGCCGTGACCCAAATCCGTCTTATCACACGTCACAGGGATGGACGCGGTAAGAAAGACCTACAAGACATCTTCAGGCTGTTCAATGAGACCGACTCTGATGACATCCCAACTTTCGTCGCGCGTGATCTCAACAAGCTGCCTCCCGTGACGTTCGATCACGTAGACGTCACCAGATTGTTGAAAGACATCACCACGTTGAGAGCCGATATTACCGATATCCGTTCCAAATTTGAGGAATCAGAACGAGCCGCAACAGAGCTGAGGAACGAAGTCAATATGTTGCGCAACATAATTGCAACATCTGCAAATTCACCGCCGTCGCAGAATGTGAATACGACACGCGGTAACCGTAATAGTAGTCATATTTCACCGATGATTGCGACTCCGTCACGCGATACCGTCTGTCAGCGGGTTGATGACCGAGAAACTACGGCGACCTCGGTCGTCATTGCATCACCACCTCAACCCTTGACTGAACCCATTGGTACTCCTCCGCCGAAGCCAACCTCAAAACAAGGGAAGACGTTTGCGGATGTTGTCCGAAAATATTTACAACCGGCACCCTCTTGTGGTAGAAAGCGGAAGAATGTGGAAATAAAATCAGTTCAAGACAAGATTGATAAGGACGGGTTTACTCTTGTTGAGAAGAGACGTCGGTCGCGACCCGTCTGTAACCAGCGTGGGACCGCGAAAATAAACGCGAGTACAACTCTGCGTGCTGTGGAGCCAACCATACAACTCTACATCTCCCGTTTGGACAAAAGTACGTCGGGAGAAGACGTCCTGCGCTTCGTGGAAGAACGAAGCCGATGCCGCATTGAGGATCCGATCTCTTTACATTTGCAGCGTCTGGAGTCTAATAGGTCAACGAACTTCAAATCCTACGTACTCCAGGTTCCTGCAAAACATAAAGAGACATTCCTCGCTCCCGATTTCTGGCCCTCTGGGGTAGTGTTTCGCCGATACAGGGACGCGCCAAAGAAAAAAGTTCCCTAAATAGTGTTAAGTTATGTCTATATTTTATATATATTTTTAGGTTAAGGTATATATTGCTATGGGCCAATGTTCTTAATTTTTAAGTCCTTGATGCCTGATATAAAGTTATTGTATTGTATTGTATATATATATATATATATATATATATATATATATATATATGTACCTAGTCAGGTCATAAGTATTGTCACACAGTAAAAACTTTTCTTTTAGATTGCTGGTCACAAAAAAGTTTATTGAATTCGAATTTCGAAATGTTCATGAAAATAAAACTGTATACTTTTTAGAATTTTACTCATTTTTGAATATAACCAAAACATTCGCTTATCGTACCATCAAACGATACAATGAAGACTCTAGTGTAGATGATAGGTCAAGAAGTGGTCGCCCTCGGTCTGTTAGGACTCCAGCAGTGATAAAAGTTGTGAAGGCGCGAATTCAAAGAAATCCCAAACGTAAGCAGAAACTGTTGGCCCTTCAGATGGGGTTAAGCAGAACCACGGTGAAAAGGGTGTTAAATGAAGACTTAGGGCTTCGGGCATATCGAAGAAAAACAAGACATCGTTTGAATGCTCGTCTAATGGACCTGAGACTGAAGAGATGCCGCGCTAAGCGGTACGCGGGGAAAAAAATATCGGGAAATTCTTTTTTCGGATGAATAAATTTTTACCGTAGAAGAGAGCTACAACAAACAAAATGATAAGGTGTACGCACACAGTAGTGAAGAAGCGAGCAACCGTATTCCGCGTGTACAACGAGGTCATTTTCCATCCTTGCTCATGGTATGGTTGGGAGTTTCTTATTGGGGCTTAACAGAGGTACATTTTTGTGAGAAAGGTGTAAAAACGAATGCAGTTGTGTATCAAAATACAGTCCTGACGAACCTTGTGGAACCTGTTTCTAATACCATGTTCAATAACAGGCACTGGGTATTCCAACAAGATTTGGCGCCAGCTCATAGAGCGAAGAGCACACAAGACTGGCTGGCGGCGCGTGAAACCGACTTCATCCGGCACGAAGACTGGCCCTCCTCCAGTCCAGATTTGAATCCGTTAGATTACAAGATATGGCAACAGTTGGAGGAAAAGGCGTGCTCAAAGCCTCATCCCAATTCGGAGTCACGCCGATATTGACATGGACCTCGTTCGTGCTGCGATAGACGACTGGCCGCGCAGATTGAAGGCCTGTATTCAAAATCACGGAGGTCATTTTGAATAAACTTTAGTGTCATAAAAATCTATGTTTTGTTAAGTTCATTTTAGTATATAAATGGTTACATAATGAATAAACTTGTTTCAATTATTAATTATTAATATTAAACATGTGACAGAATTTATGACCTGACTAGGTATATATATATATATATATATATATATATATATATATATATATATATATATATAATTCTTGTATGCTCATACTTTCTTTTGTTTCTTAATTATTTTTTTCTTTTTGATCTTTAGCTAGCTTAATTTCTTCTCGTAATTCTATTCACTTTTATATTTATTTATTTATTAGATATTGGGAATCGGAGTTTAATTCACATCTTTGGGCGTTATTGGCCATTTTTATTCTTATTCTCGCATTTTATAATTTATTTCATGATGTTTATTTTATTCATATATTATTTATTAGGTATTTTATATTTTCATTACAAATATTCATTTTATTTTATTGGTACATAAACTTTTTTTCGTACTAGATCAAGGTAAAAGTGTACCTTGGGTTGTGTGCACAACCTTGAGGTATACGTTTAAGTCATTTTAAAAGGACTCCAACAATTTTAACTGAGGTAAACTAAGTTCACACTGTGAATCCAATGAAGGATTTGATTTCTGTGTTCATTCTCAAAACAAATTTAAGACTTCTCTGGTCCCCAACAGTACTAATATGAGTAAACTCGTTCACATCACTTGTACTGAAATTATTGTTCCCTAGACCCGTTACCTCCGATTTTATCATCCAATTATGGATATTCCCGTATCCTCTCTAACATTTAAATATTGTTATAGTTACTTGACCATTAATCTTTGCTAAGGTAGAATACGTAGAACTAATCATAGTTAAACGTCATTGTACAACCATATTATTGTAAAATAAAGACTACAAACTACACCTGATGGCAAAATCTTCTTCAGATAATTCAGTTTTACAAATTTCACATAGAAGTTATGGGAATTTTTGTAACCATTTTTGTTTAAAGATGAAGTATAATTATCTCACAAACTTACTGGAAGAGTCTGGTGAAGATAATAAAAAGATTTGGCGGCATGTAAAAGATATTTCATTTATATCCAAACAGCATGAATCTTTATCAGAATTATTACAAAATAAATCATCGTCGCTTATATGAACAAATACAGCAAATAATTACTTTGTTAACGGTAGAAATCTTGCTGAGCGGATAATAAACATTTTATGAATAATCATGAGTACAGGGCCAATTTCTCCACTCAAAGAAACTGCTAATTAAGCTCGATCGCACTATTAGATACGGACGCCACTGAGGTAGAAAGTATTATAAAGCGTCTCCCACACAGAAGCGGCTTGCGGTGGCGGCTAACCGCGGGCCGCGGCTGCAGCCGCTGTAACAACCCACCACCGCGGCCCAAGTGGCGGCCTGAAGCGCCATTCGCTGTGGTGTCTGTGCTACGATCGGACGTACGAACATGACAAACCGTGACGAAGTCTTTATTATATTCAGCAATATTATCATATATTTTGTTTTAATACTAATGCTTTTGTGATCACAATGCGAATTACTACTACTAGTACTAGATAATTTTGCACTGTTTCTATTAAAATCTCTGAATGTAGCACCAATTTTCACGCGGTACACGCGGCCTGTTGTAACTGACCGCGCTGCAGCCACCGACTGACCGCGTACTTGCTAACACACACGCATTGGAAAATGGGGCGGAGCATGCGGCTGCGGCCAGCCGCTCGCAGGCCGCGCCATGACCGCTTGGGTTTGGAGACTCACTTACATTGCAAGCGAATACAACTGGCCGCCACCGCGGCCGCCACCGCAAGCCGCTTCTGTGTGGGAGACGCTTAATGGGGCTGAAAGAAACAATTGCGGTTGTTTGGGATGGCATACACACTAGTATATTAAGAATATTTAGACAAATTCCAGTACCACCTATCGATTCGAAAAAAAAACTCATATTTTTCGAATTTGCCTCTCTTAAGGAATTTCCCCAGATTGTTTAAAGAAACTCTTGTAGTTCCAGCATATAAATCGGGGGATAAAAAAAATATTTCCAATCATCGGCCTATCTCAATACTCCACGTCTAAAATATTAGTTAATAATAGATTAATGAATTATTTACAAAGTAAATCCATATTATCGAATATGCAATATGGTTTCAGACTAAAACTGTCCACTGATGCCATGCAGGAAATGACTAATTACGTCTCTCAAGAATTAGGTAAAGGCAACCAATCAATTGGCATTCTCCTTGACCTAGCAAAAGCTTTTATAAAATCGATATCAGTGCATAAAAATCGAAAAGGTTATTAGTTCTCAACAAAAAAATACTCGTTTTGGCGTGCCTCAAGGAAGTGTATTAGGGCCAACCTTATTTTTGATATATATATATCAAAAATAAGATTGGCGTACCTCGTTGCCTTTTGCCCAAAATGAGTATTTTATATATACATAAATTACCTTTACAATCTCGAACTAAACTCAAGTAAAACAATATCTTACGCAGATGATACCGTGATCATTTTTTCCGCAAATACTGTAGACAAGGTTTATTTACGTGCACGACAAGGTTTTAACAGGGTTAGTAAATGGGTTCAACAAACCATATTAGCACTGAATACGGACAAGACCAAATACATTCATTTTTCTATACGCAGCTCAACCCACATTAATGTTGCTCAGTCGCCTCTGCGACCAAACGTAATTTCCCAGTTATTTTTAATACAAAAGCTATTAAATACCTTGGACAAATTATAGATTCTACTCTGACATTTAAAAACCACATATACCACCTGTGCAATGGAGTCCGTAAACTAATGTTGTTTTTTTAATATTCGTTCTTTTGCTGATATCAAGGTAGTAGAGCACATATACTTCGTATTATGTCAATCAATTCTCACCTATAACCTTATGGGGAAGAGCAGCTAAAACTACACTGTTACCACTCGAACGCGCTCAAAGAGCTGCATTAAATGTCGCAGCATTCCGCCCTATCCTATTTCCGTCCCATCTCTTATATAAATCCTATAATGTTCTCTCAGTGCGCCAGTTATTCGTTATGAGTATGTTACTTAAACAGCACTTAAAATTGCCGTATAGAAAAGAGGTCACTGATAAAAGACGCAAAGATAAAGTAATTGACACTTACATTAGAATAAGGCATTTTTTCATGCATTGATTTATTGCAATCTAGCCGTTTTCTGTATTATCAAGTCAATGCAATTTTGTACATGTATCCATTAAAAATGGCAGATTATATAAAAATGTAATTCGAACATGGTTACAAAATTTGTCATACGATTCTTCTATTTTTTTCTTTTTTTCACGATGGTACAGAAAAGTAGCTAATGAAATAACCTTAATTAGATGCTATGTTATTCATTATATATAAAAAACAGAAAATATTTAGGTTCTACACAACAACAAGCTTCGGGTCCCGCGCCTACGTCATAGTGACCGAGTGAAGCCGGCCACGGTCGAGCGTGTGCCTGCTTTACTACCATATGTCAGAGTTGTCACAGACAAGATTGGCTACATCTTAAAACGAGCTTCTATTAGAACATTCTTTAAGCCACCGAAGAAGATTAGTCAGTTCTTAACATCCGTCAAGTGCAATATCCCTCTACAAGATGCAGGAGTGTACAAGCTTGATTGTGAATGTGGTCTCTCATATAGGGCAACAAAACGATCTCATCAAATCAACAAAACTCGCGTAAAAGAACACATAGCTGACGTGAAACACCAACGTTCCGGGAAGTCTGCAGTTTGTGATCATATCATAGACGGCCAGAAACCACAAATTCTCGCGAAAGGACATCGATTCCTGCCAATCATGATACGCGAGGCTATTAAAATTAAAAAACATCCTAATTTCAATAGAGAGGGAGCCTGGGTACTACCACCTGCTTGGGATACTGTAATTAATAAAATTAAAACTAAACTCAAGCATACCACTGCAAGACTTCAAGACACAGTAAGTTTATTCTGCGTAGATCGGATCAAAACTAATAATTAAAAAAGCTGAAGGACGGCTTAACTTTGACATCGGGACGTCAATCAGCTCAGCCCCCCGTGACTATGGGTGCTGTAAAGCTCCCGAAACGTCGGGAATTTAATAAAAATAAGTAAACGCGATAGAATACGTAAAAGTAGTTTATTCAAAGTGTAGTGTTCGCGCAAATATAAGAAATCATTATATAATATACTAGCTGACCAGGCAGACGTTGTTCTGCCCTTTCCGACGACCGTTTGTTATCCTAAAATTAGCAATAAAAAAATTGAGGGGATAAAAATATCGGGATAAAAACTATCCTATCTCTCAAGTTGGATCAAACTGCATACAGTGTGTAGTTTGTTTCATTGAAATCAGTTCAGTAGTTTAGGAGTTCATCGCAGATAAACAATGTGACACGTAATTTTTATATATAAAGATAATATTTCTCGTGGTTGCTAAAATAAAATAAACCTAAGATGTTTCAGTCGTTTATACTGCTTAAAGTCTCCTCATAAAAACCGTACTATATTTGGAGAGTCACGGGAGCATTCCCGTTATTTTCCGAATTTTTGCACTATCCTCAATAATCTTATTAGTATTAACAGCTAGGTCTTCTCTCATGAATCGGACTAAACGAAGGCAATGTCTAAAGTCCATGTCACAGAAGTAGCTAATCGATAACTTGTGCTCAAATTTATTGACGAGTATGTTTATTCTTTATTTTAAACACAAGGCCCACCCTGTGTTCTCTCAAGGAGGTGCCACGGGTGGATACTGGCGCTGAAAGAATGTGTGCCTGAACATTTCCGCTGCCCTGCTTTTTTATTATGTAATTTCAAACTCGATCGAGAGGTTTATAAACAAATTCAACAGAGTTGGGCTTTGTTTGGAAAATCACAACACATCTTTACGTCGGAGTTTTACTTTA